CAGCGCTGCAACAGGCAGCAAAAACGCATATTTCGACAACGACCCTATCAGTGTGTGTGTGTGTGTGTGTCTGTGTGTGTATGTATTCGTCTGTCCGGGTATTTTAACTCTCCAACCACGCAAGCCTTGAAGCTGAAATTTTACCAGCCTGTTCCCCAGTCAAGTGCCAGGACTGCGGTATCAACTCTCAAGCACGTCTGGGTCCCGCGTACGAGCACGTGAAAGTTTTGGCGAGAAAGTTAACAACTCGGGGATGAGAAAAGCTAGAAAGCTGAAATCAAAGGGGAAAATCTTGAAACGGGAAGATGACACACGGGGTAGGAACATATACCCAAAGTTTCAGCCTCCCAGCTTTCCTGGTTGCTGAGATGAAAGTGGGTGACAAAATGCATTCAATTCTGAACACACACACACACACACAGCCTCTTGACAATATACGCTTCTGCTGGTTGTAGCAACGCTATAGCGCTGCACAGCAAAAACGCATAAAAAGCGAGCATTTGCTGAAAAAACGACGGGGCTTCATGCAGAAGACTGTTAATCATGTACCTGGAAGTCCGTGCGGCTCTGTAATGAACCACCTTCATCCCAACCGACGCCCTTCCTCCTGCATGCCGGAAGGGGGTTACAGCACGACCACTATGAGCCCAAGCGTTAGGCTACAGCGCAGGGGCCATTCCGGCTATTAGAGATCTGCGAGTTCAGTGCAAAAACGCATGATCGCACCGGCAAGCCTGGTACATTCCAGCCTGGGTTATTATTATTGTTCTATTATTATTCAAAATTTTTGCTCATTGCGCATCCATATTACTAACTAAACGCTTTTTATCGCGTGTTTCTGCACATATCAGTACATTTGAGGATCTAAAAAAAAGCCGGGACTGAATTTCGCGAAAGAAAAACTGTACTAGTCTAGTTCCTGACAACGTATGAAACCAAAATAGTAGAATCAAGTTTTCTGCCGGCCTGTCTCCTGACATCTCACTTCAACAAAAACTGCTTCAACTGAGAACGAAATGGTTCGGAATTCGAGAATTCTAGCAGTACAATTTACCGCACTATGCGGAGAAAATAGCCCTCCACTCTGTTTTCTACTGCGCAAACGATTTGAAAGTATGCTGAAAAGTGTTGTTTCCAACTTTACTCTAGAAAAACATTCACCTGTAACAATGACTTTATAGAACGCTCTGAGTTGCTGGCCCGGCTGATCGCCTGGCACATACTCACCTGAAATTCAAGCCATCTTGAGTATGATGAGACACGATTTTTTCTGCTCAAGTGACATTCGCTGGTACTCTACACCGCTACTGACTTCAAAATAAGCAGTATGCCCCCTCATGTGAAATATTCAGCGATAGTAAGATGCAGCTATAACTTATCAGCAGTCGTGCCACGACTTTCTGTCTTTGCTTCGGCTCTTATCAGTCTCAAGCACGACACTTTTTCACAGGAAGTAGTCTGACAGTCATTATCTGCCTTGTGGATATTATGTGCCAACACTCAATAGTTGCTAGCGTAGCCAGAAGCTTTTTTACGCATCCTTCAGAGGTCGCGACCGCATTTTGCATAGGAATCACCCAATCAAGCGTTTGTCCATTTGTATGGCCATGAAGTAACACTGCAAGTGATTTCAGTTCCATCGTTTACCTACCTTAGAAAGCAAAAAGCGTTTTCTCGCACTTTCGTCAGTAACCACGCTTCTTCTACACCCACTATTTCTAGAACTGATAGTAAAAAGATATGTCCAGTCCTTCCGAGCAATAGTCTCCCATTACCAACGAAATCCCAAATACTTAAGAATCGTAACTTTTTTTTAATCGCACGGTTTCGTGGCATCAAAAACTCGAATATTACCTAGGCCAATCGTTGTCAACGAAACGAAACAGTAGAAAAATGCATCGAGAAAATCCCAGTCTGATTCTATTTTTGTAAAGATGTAGGATGGAATGATAAATACAAATAAAAGCAACACGGCACACACAAAACCGAGATGGAAGACCTGAAAATATTTTACAGAAGCACGCCAAGGAGCTGGTGCCGAAATGCATTACTTGAAAAAAAATTCGAGATGATCCCTCAACTGAATCCGGTTTTTCGATCTCTGCCGACAAATTGGAATTCGAAATGATCCATCCACTTCGTTCATATACCAAACTACATTCATTACAATACACGAATCCTCTAGTAGCTTATTGTCCTGCACACTCGGCTAATCATCTTTGCCTAACCCTGATAATTTTGACAGAACTCGATTGTATGTGGATGAGCAATCGTCCAAACCTCGGGAGGACTTTTTATTGTCCAAAAAGACATATGTTACTGAATTAATTCACATCGCCTTGAAAAGGCTTATGTTGTAAAAGAAGACTTGCCATCTACCTGGATCTGCGTCTCGCGAAATAAATGTCCAAGTCTTGCGTTTAGTTTGCAGCGTAGCCAAAAACTTGGCTGTTTTAATCGTACAACAAGTGCGGACAATAATGCTAATGTCATCGGAATACCAATAATGCAATAAACTATGGTGAAAAATTTGCCTTCATGCGTCCGCGGTGAAACGCGCCCGTAACCTGTAAATGAAACTATGACAGTTAATCAATTTAGATAAGTACACATTCAACTAGCGTGATATTTTAATAATATTGAAATCGTCAAAGCGGGATGAAAAAACAATAAAACGAATCGAGAGATGCAAAGTTTAAATGAAAATAGATAAAATTCAACGAAAGTGACGAAATTAAAGAGGCAAAATAACGTGAATCCTAATGTGAAAGAATAGTGTCAGAATGGAGCCCAGGCTGGAACGCACCAGGCGGGCCGATGCGGTTATGCTTTTTTGCACTTTTCATGCCTAGCAAGATCGCAAGGAATCAAAGTAGCTAACTCTGTGAAATACTGGCCCTCGAAGTTCGGGAA